GACAATAATATTTCTCAAGGTGCAATGAACTCTATGATAGATCTTATAAAGGAATTAGTTGATCCCAATGTAGAGATTCTTGATTCTTATTATAAAGCAAATGCATTGGTGTCTAAGTTAGGACTCTCCTCGATAAGAATTGATTGTTGTGAAAAAGGTTGCATGTTATACTATAAGGAGGATGTCGATCTAGAGTCTTGTAACTTTTGTAGTCACCCTCGCTATAAGACTGGTTCTACCAGAAAGAAACTTGTTATTAAGGCAATGCATTATTTACCTCTTATACCAAGATTGAAAAGGTTATATGCATCAAATAGCTCTGCTCCTTATATGAGATGGAACCGTGAAAATAAAAGGCCACCTGGTGTCATGTGTCATCCATCTGACGGAGAGGCTTGGAAACATTTTGATAGAACTTATCCAGATTTTGCCGCTGAACCTAGGAATGTTAGGCTGGGTTTGTGTGCGGATGGTTTCACCCCTTTTTTCAGTTAGGGCTGCACCATATTCTTGTTGGCCTGTGTTTATTACACCGTATAATCTTCCACCTGAGATGTGTATGACAAGTCCATATATATTTCTGAATTGTGTCATTCCTGGTCCGAGTAATCCAAAAAGCAAGATTGATGTGTACTTACAACCTTTGATTGATGAGTTGAAATTGTTGTGGTCTGAGGGGGTAGAAACATGGGACATTTCTCGTAAACAAAATTTCAACATGCGTGCTACTTTAATGTGGACTATTAATGATTTTCCTGCCTATGGAATGCTATCTGGATGGATGACTGCTGGAAAATTAGAATGTCCCTACTGTATGGAAGATACTAAATCATTCACATTAAAACATGGGAGAAAAAATTCATGGTTTGATTGTCACTGTCGATTCTTGCCACCTGATCATGAGTTTAGGAGAAAGAAATATGCATTTAAAAAGAATAAAACTAAACGAGATGGTCTACCCCCAATATTAACAGGTGATGATATTTGGGAAAGGGTTCAAAATTTTCCAAAGGTAACTGAGGAACCACCGTACAAATTTGATGGGTATGGTGTTGCACATAATTGGACTAAACAGAGTATATTCTGGGAGTTACCTTATTGGAAGGATAATTTGCTTAGACATAATCTTGATGTCATGCATATTGAAAAGAATTATTTTGATAATTTGTTCAACACTGTAATGGATGTGAGTGGCAAGACAAAAGATAATGTTAAGGCGAGACTTGACTTACCAGAACATTGTAGACGACCGGAGTTGCATTTACAGGAGTCTGCCAACAACAAGTTACTTAACCCCAAGGCTAGTTATTCATTCACAATGGAACAGAAGAGAAAAATTTGTGAATGGGTGGAAAGCTTGAAAATGCCAGATGGATATGCCTCAAATTTGGGAAAGAGGGTTGACATTGAGCGTGGAATATTACATGGGATGAAAAGTCATGATTGTCATGTTTTCATGGAACAATTACTTCTGATTGCTTTTTGTGGATTGCCTGAAAACATATGGAAACCGATGACAGAGATCAGTTTGTTCTTCAAAGACTTGTGTTCCAGCACATTGAGAGTAGAGAATCTGGTTCGGATGGCCAAAAATATCGTTATTATTAGTGATAAGTTGGAGAAGATTCTTCCACCTGGGTTCTTTGATGTGATGGAACATCTTCCCATCACCTTGTTCATGAAGCCATACTGGGAGGTCCAGTCCAATATAGGTGGATGTATTCTTTTGAGCGGTAAGTAACTATAACATATTTATTCTTATTTCATAAATCATTCATATATCTTTTGAAATTATATATCTAATATAAAATTTTATAGGAGCATTGGCAAGTCTAAAAGGGGTATTAAGAATAAGCATAGGGTGGAGGGCTGTATGGTTCAAGTATATCTAGCTAAAGAAAGATCCCACTTTTGTTCTTACTACTTTGATGATTATGTGTCGTGTTTGAGAAACAGACCTAATCAACATGATGCTACTGGGAATGATCCTGCAGTGCAATCATTATCAATCTTCAACCAACCGGGTAAGGGTTCAAAAAAGTGTACATTGCACAAACTTACCGAAAAGGAGAAAAAATCTGCAGAGCTTCATCTTGTTGAATTGTCCAAAAGTCCAACCCTTCTTAGAGTAAGAAAATTAAGTATGTAAACAACATATATTCAACTCCGATTTTATTAAGGAAACTAACTGTATTTTCAATGTGGTTCTGCAGTTATTTTGTGAGCCAATATGGTCATGATCAAGTGTTTCCATCATTTATAACGTGGTATACTAATTGGGTAAGTGTTGTAATATATACACCTATTAAGAGATTAGTGTACTCTTCTTTCTACTAACATTGCTTTTAATTTACTAACCATATATAGGTCTACAATTCAGAAAATGCCACCACATTTGATCAATTTTTCAAGGATATTTCTTGGGGACCGATTACAGTTCACACAATGTCCCAATATAACGTAAATGGTTTTAAATTTGCCACAGAGAAATACTCAAAGAATAAGAAAACTAATAATAGTGGTGTTTGGGTTAAAAGTGATGATGGAAATCAAAATGAGAATGTTGATTATTTTGGCGTCCTACAGGAGATTGTAGAGTTGGAGTATTCGGGTTGGCCAAGCAAAAGAATAGTACTTTTCCAATGCAAGTGGTTTGATCCAACTTCAAGAGGTACGAGGGAGCTTAAGCAGCATAATATCATTGAAGTCAAGCACACTAGGAAGTATGAGGCTTATGATCTTTTATTATTGCACAGAATGCTAAGCAAGTGTACTATGCTCCTTATCTGTTGCGTATGGATAAGTCTGATTGGTGGGTTGTAATCAAAACAAAATCGATGGGGCGAGTGGAAGTTGAGAATGAATTGGATGTTGCATATCAAAATGAAATATCAAGTGTTCATCAAGTAGTGGATGCTGAGTTAGAAATGAATTTGGAGCATCCTGATCACATTTTAGAAGAAGTTAATAGAGAGGAGTTAGATATGCCAACAAATATGGAGGAGGATGAGGAGGAAACTTTCGAAGAGGATGAATGGATAGATGAGGAGGAAACTTCCGAAGATGATGCATGTGAATGGACAGATGATAAGAAACTTCTAAAGAGGATGAATGGATAGATGAGGAGGAAACTTCCGAAGATGATGCATGTGAATGGATAGATGATAAGAAACTTCTGAAGAGGATGAATAACAATTTGTATGTTTAGTTAGTGGATTTTTATATTTGAGTATACTTTATATTTTAGTAGTTTTAACTTTTGTTTGACATTGTGAAAGACTATTTGGATTAAGCCTTATGTTATGATAACTTTGTTTGATATATTTGTTCGACATTGTGACATCATTGTGTACTACTTTGTTTTAATCTTTATATTTAATTGATATAGATGGTAGATAAAGACAAGGGTAAATCAAAAAAATATGCTAATCCAAAAAAAGAAATTTAAGGAAAATGCTATGAGAAGGCCCACTGGGGTCGTGATATCTGATGAGCCCTCTCGAGTTAATATTTCAAAACGAGCCTCAGTTTCAACTATTCACTCGGCACACCAGTCACATAATGCCTCTACTCATGTGGCTCCACAATCTGGTTATACTATATCTACACCCACTGTGGTACCTAGTTCGGGGTACCAAACTTTGCAGGGCTATTCACATCTTGGTCGTGGGTCTACCATACCATCATCTAGTGCTAGTCAGTGCAATACTTTGAATACTAATAGTGGATCAATTGGACTTTCCAATCTTCATCTTGAATCCAATGGCTCAGAGCCTAATACTCCCACCACCCAGCACTCAGATGCACATGGTCCTCAGCCAGGCGATAGAGACAATTTTCGGAGACTCGTCATCGAGCCATTAGGATACAAGTATGATTTAATTATGTTTTATCTTTCATTTATCTATTTATGTTTTAATTGATTGATTATTTTTTGTTTACTCTACTTTGTCAATGAACTCGTATTTCAGCTTACGTCCGGATGTGGGTATGGCAAAGATTATTTTAAAGTGCATCGAAACTCACTATAATGGTGTGTATCCGAATTGGAGTTCGATTCCACTTAACACCCAAGGGCAGATGTTCAACGAATTTAAGGTAAGAATATATATAAATTAAATTCACATCATATATATTTAATTCTCCAGTCATTTGAACAATAAATATTTAGTTATTTTTTATTACAGAAATATTATGTATGGGCTCCCGAACACGAGGATGACGTTCAAGTGAACTTCAAGCTTAAAGCTTCAAAGTTGTTTTCTAGCACATTTTGTGACTGTCGGAAAAAAACAGAATGCCTAAGTTTATGTTACCGGATTGATGGGCTCTGTTACTGAAACATTGGAGTACTGATGAAAAATTTAAAAAGAGGAGTGAGATTGGAAATATGGCTCGCGCATCAGAAAAGGGAGGCTCTTTGCACACTGGTGGAGCTATTAGCCAAGTTACTAGAAAGGAAAGAATGGTATACTTTCTTAATTTAGTAAAATATTTTTTTTCTTTTTTGATTAGTACTTTTTGGAGATTAATGAGATCATATTCTATATATGTTATTTGCAGGAAAAAGAGTTGGGTAGGCAGGTAGTTGTAGCAGAGATGTTCAAGGTTACTCACGTCAAGAAGAGTACGAACCCCACAGAAGAAGAAAGATGGATTGAGCCACGTGCTCAAGAGACATATGTAAGAACTCCATTCAAACTAATCTTTTTTTCTTTTCCTTGTATATATTACATTCTTATTCGTAGAGTTCTTTGTTTAAATTACAGGATAGGTATATACGAATATCTCAGGAATATCGTAGTACTCTACCACTTGAGAGTCAGGACAGACCATTTACACAAGAAGAAAATGAGAATCTATGGAAATAGAATGCTGGTGAACTGATTAGAGGTTCAATCTACGGCTATCCAGAAAAGGCGTATTAGAAAAAGAAGTCTTGGTATTGTGGTTCATCATCCTCAAGCTTTGATGGCGGGGATAAAGAGACAATATCTGCAATGGAGAGTAAGATAGCTTATCTCCATGCAGAACTTGTTGTTGTAGCCGAAAGAGAGAAGAAGAGAGAAGAAAAAGAGAGGAATAGAGAGAAGGAGATTGCGGCAGCAAAGGAGGTAGAGAACAAGAGGTATGCAGCGCTTCAGGCCCAACTAACTTTTCTTTTTGAATTAGGAAATATTCTTCCTCCATGTCCGACCAGTAGTGATGAGAATGATAAGTCTGATAAGAAAAGTGAGGGTGATGAGAATGGTAAGTCTGACAAGGAGAGTGAGAGTGATTAGGAGTAGTTGTATCTATTTGACATTTTAGACTTCTATATTTTTGGAATTGTTTAATTTGATCGTATTTTAGTTTATTTTGAAGTTGGATGAAGTTTATTTTGAAATAGTTTAATGTATATGTTGAAAATATTGTGTTGTTTTGGTTGGATGAAGTTTATTTGGCTTTGGGTTGTTTTGGTATAAATATGCAGGTGGGCAACTAAAAATTGCAGCAATTTGCTACCTATTTTGTAGCAAAAAATCGACCTCCGGAGATCGGAATTTCAACATTACAAAAATAAAAATACCGACCTCTGGAAGTCGAAATTTCAAACATTACAAAAATAAAAAACCCGACCTCCGGAGGTCGGAATTTTAAAAATACAGAAATAAAATACCGACCTCCGGAGGTCAGAATATCAACATTACAAAAAATAAAAATACCGACCTCTGGAGGTCGGAATTTCAACATTACAAAAATAAAATTACCGACCTCCGGAGGTCGAAATTTTAATAATACAAAAATAAAAATACCGACCTCCGGAGGTCGAAATTTTAACATTACAAAAATAAAAATACCGACCTCCGGAGGTCAGAATTTCAACATTACAAAAATAAAAATACCGACCTCCGGAGGTCAGAATATCAACATTACAAAAAATAAAAATATCGACCTCCGGAGGTCAGAATTTCAACATTACAAAAATAAAATTACCGACCTCCGGAGGTCGGAATTTTAAAAAAACAAAAATAAAAATACCGACCTCCGGAGGTCGGAATTTTAACATTACAAAAATAAAAATACCGACCTCCAGAGGTCAGAATTTCAACATTACAAAAATAAAAATACCGACCTCCGGAGGTCAAAATTTCAACATTACAAAAATAAAAATACCGACCTCCGGAGGCCAGAATTTCAACATTACAAAAATAAAAATACCTACCTTCGAATGTCGGTATTCCAATTCTGACCTCAGGAAGTCGGAAATAATAATATATGAATTTTCCGACATAAAATAAAAACTGACCTCAGTAACTACCGACCTCCAGAGGTCGGTATTGAATAGCGACCAAGCTTTTTCCGACCTAAGTTGGAATGTCGGTTTTAGGTCGGTATTTCAGGGAATACCGACTTCCGGAGGTCGGTATTTGTAGGTCGGTATTCACTATTTTTTTAGTAGTGTATGATACTCAATATCTAACTCTCTGAATATCTTAACCATTTCCTCAACTAAAAGGGCTATCTTGGCCCATATCTCTCCCATGTCTTGCAAATTCATTGTGTGTGTAATCTATACTGACCATCTTATCTTGTTTAAGTGTTCAATATCCCTTATCACTTTTGTTCTAAATATATCTAGCAGTACAGAAGCCATACCATAAATTATTATAAGGGGATGAATATTACTCATTTCGTTTCAATTTATTTGTTTGGTTTTGAGTATTTGGAGCATTAGAAAGTTAAGAATATTTTTGAATCTTGTGGTCTTAAGCATTGTGATGTGAAAAGTTGATATTAAAGAGTTGCAAAAAGGAAAAGATGTCTTTTTTATACAAACACAATAAGAAAGTAAGAAAAACAAATTGACACAGAGGAACTCTGGTTTCTTGCTTAAGTTGAGAAGCAAGTCAAAAAAGGCGTTTTGTTCCATCTATTTTACCAACATTACTATTTCCGGAAAAAGAGTCGGGACGGGTGATTTGTGTGTAGAGAGACTACTAAGATATGTGTATTCTTATGTTGAGCATCATAAAAGAGTAAGTCAACCACTATAACACAAGAGATCCGTAAAGTAAACAACTAAAATTGATCATTGGAAGATGAATAGTTATATATACCTTGTTATTTTCTCTTTCATCAATGCTATATTTTCAATAGGAGTTGAGATATGCATGCCAAATTCGATTGTATCTCGCATGTCTGTACTGCGATAGTAGTTACTTATGGGCTTTGTAGATAAGACACTGTTGGGATATATGATCTTCAGGCTATCGTATCTCAGAAGTATCGTAGTCAATATATTCATCTCTTCTACAATCATCTGTAACCCAAGAATCATAAAAGGTCCTTTAAGAGTGGATGAATTCTTACACGAACTCCGTCAATTTCAACATGGTCGCCTACATCAAATGGGTGCATCACAAATAAGAATATTATTGCCTTGAATGTCGTCTTGGTCGTGTTTCCCAACATGAATACGACCAGAAGAACCTAAGAGCTCATAAAGACCAGGAAATATGTAGTGGCAACTTTGAGGATAAGAAGCCAGACGACCAGTATGATAGCCCCTGCTAAGATGTTCAACATGTGATGCAGTTTGTTCACATCAGTCTTTGTGTCTCAGTCGCCATGTGGCCTGAATCTCGATGAGTGCAGGTACCTGGGGAGATGAGTGCAACAATGTTAACTCCAGGGGTAAAAATGTATTAGTACCATTGATGAGGGTAGCGTAGGGTAATAGTCTGCAATAATTGGCAGTAATTTGATGCATAAAAAACGTTATCAGTAAAATGCAATGTGCGGATAACCTAAGGCTTGCAGCAACAGATATATTTATATATTATAATGACTATTTTTATAATTGCCAAGGGACTGCAGGTAAGCAAAAGAACCAATAATAGTCCATATAATTATTGCCTCAAGGCAATGTAACAAAGTCGATTAGTGCCCTCTACATGCTAGTTTGTATGATACTTTCCCTCTGGACTGTGAAGCAGATTTGGTGTGACTGTGATGCATACAAGAGGGTAGAGTAAGATGTAAAGAGCGCAAGCTTAAGGTCAGAAGCAGGGGTGGGTCAAAGTAATTAGAGGTCTAAAGCGAAATTTCAATTAGAGGCTTAAAATCTAAATAAACTTCATATATATTTATTTAAAATTATTTTTCTAACTTTTATATTTCAATTAAAAGCCTAAAATCTAAATAAACTTCATATGTATTTATTTTAAAATTATTTTTCTAGCTTTTTAGATGTAAATTTTTGCTTAGAATTTCTTTATATATGATTTCTTCAAATATCTTTTTTATTATTATTAGTTTTAGGTAAGATTTTATCAATTCAAATTAGAAAACACTCTTTTACTGGGGCTATTACTATATGAATTGTTAACATAATTCTTAGTAATAAGTTGACAAACTTTATATAAAAACAAGAGTTAAAATCATAGAATTTGAAGTTGATAACTTGGTTATCCTACTAACTATGTTTGTTGTATTGCTTGAAAATTTAAGAAGAAATAAAAAAAAATTGTAATTTATGTTATTCAACATTTTTCGACTATTAATTCATATATTTGATAGTCTATTACTCTACCTTATCAAAGATTTGAAAACAAAAAAAGAGTTCAAACAGATAAATAATATGAGTGTTAGCAAAAAATAATTGATTTTTTCTATTTGAATGAGGTTAAGGAGAATAAAATAATTTAATTTTATGTAAAAAAAATAACAAAAATTTATTCTTGGAAATAATTTGAGGCATATGCCTCAAATTTTGTATGCAAGAGTCGCCCCTGGTCAGATGTAACACATATATGGGAAACCTGTAATTTCAAATGCCAGAAGACTGTATATACTCAGTAGAACAAATAATAGTCTATGTTATTGTTGCCGCAAGGGGAATAAACAAAGTATGTGAGTGGGTTGTACTCTTAGGCAATATTCCATCTGGAATGTGATTCATACGGTTCACTTTCAGAATGTCGTGAGTAATTGTACAGGCAGCCGTGGTAATGAAAGATAAAATTAAAAAAAAAGGGAATGTGTGTTTGCGGTTAATGTGTGTGAAGGGAAAACAATTAAATTGCCGAAGGAAAAGGTTATGTTTTAGTAAAGCAGTATTTTCAATATGAGGGTGTGTCGTTACATACCTGTGTGTCATCTGTTTGGGGAGAAAACATCTGCGTTTATGAGTTATAAAGAGTGGGAGACGATAGGTTACATCTGTTTGGGAATACTAGAAGTTGGTGTTTGTTCAACGCGGAGGTGGTTGAAGTGGTGGCCTATGCTTTTAATACATGTATGGAAATGTTTTTGTACTATATTTGGCAACTAGACACACAACTTTGCTTGTTGGGGTATGGCATGTATAGACTATGTATACAATTTAAGCATTAGAAATGTGAGTCAGAATTGTATAGTTGTTGCCTGAAGGGGATGAAACAAAATTCATGGTGTTTCCCTGTAGGAATGTGAGTCAGAGTTGGGGTGAATGTGATGCATAACAGAGGTGAAGAGTAAGATGTAAAGAGCCCATTCGTAAGGTTAGAATTAATCCAAATATAGGAAATTTGTAGTTGCAAATGTCAGGGAAATTGTATAAATGCAGGCGAACAAACTATAGTCAGTCATATTGTTGCAGCAAGGGGAAGGAACAAAGTGAATGAGAGGGTTGTAATCATAGGCAATATTCAACGTGGAATGTGATTCACATTGCGTAATTTCAGAATGTCGTGAGCAATTGTAGGGTACCAAGCAGCCGTGTTAATGTAAGTTTAAAGCAATAACGGATTAACATAGAAAAGGGAATTGTCAAGACAAATATCGTCTTGACAATAAATCACACAAAAAAAAAATGTAAGAAGAAGAAGAGTAGAAGATTTAAAAAATTGTGGTTGAAAATGAGTGGGAATCCATCTACTTATTGTCAACAAAGGATAGTATGAACAAGTATTTTTGTGTGAATATTAAAAATATTGTGGTTGAAAATGAGAGGAAACCTCTCTACTTATAGTCAACAAAAGGTAGTATGAACAAGTATTTTTTTGTGTTTTATCTGAAAAGTCATGACCTTTCCGAGAAGTCACAACCCTTTCGAAAAGTCACAACTTGTTGAAAAAGTCAAAGCTCTTGGGAAAAGTCACGACTCATCGAAAAATCACAACCCTTTGAAAAAAGTCACAACTTATCATAAAAGTCACAACTCATCAAAAAAGTCACAACATAAGTTAGGGATATTATAGTAATTTGACATTCAAGTTAGGAGTTTATGCTTTTAAGGTAATATAGATATAGATATAAGATAGATTCAAGATTACAACTCAATCAATCGATGAATTTAACTCTAAAACTACCTTTTTTTCGATTAACTCTAATCGAAAACTATATACTCTCCAAGAAGTCAAACTCACTTCTTGTTTACAAAACTCTCAAACTTTCTCTTAACTCAACCCCAAGAATTCAAACTCACTTCTTGTTTACAAAACTCACAAACTCTCTACTCTCCCCTTCCTAACTCGCTTCTTGTTTACAAAACTCTCAAACTTTCTCTTAACTCAATCCCAAGAATTCAAACTCACTTCTTGTTTACAAAACTCACAAACTCTCTACTCTCCCCTTCCTAAACACTGATTCAACTAAGAATTAATGTGACTCAACTATTCCGAAAGAAATCCTAACTCTAGTACTTCTTTCGTTCTTCTCTTCTTGACTGCTTTGGGCTTCCTGTAATTTTCTCTTTCTCTCTTTGTTTGAATTATGCAAAGACCGTTTTTTCTTTATTCAGCCTTGTCCTTTTATAAAGTCTAATTAATTACAAGTCCAATTTGTTTAAGGACGAAATTTACATTTATATAAGGAAAGGAATTAGATATTTTATGTAAATACTAACCCCTTTCTAACGCGTATGCCACATCTCCTTATTTGTACATGACTCTTCCTCTTTTATTGTTTTACTCTTTTGACTCGACTTTCTTCTTAATGCAAAAACTCTTCTTTTTTATTTCAGTAATTTCAGCTTGAGATCCTTTTCCCACCTTTTTATTTTGAATTCTAAGTTAATCGGGATGAACCTGGTTCATCGTGTCTATCATCAAAATCTCATTTATATGGCATTTGATATGAGTGTCGAATCATTAATTTCCCCCTTTTTGATGATGATAAATCTACTTCATTTCCTATACAATATCAGCACTATACAAAATACACAAGACGATATTGACAATATCTTCCCCCTTTTGGCATATAAAAAAGAAGAGGAAATTGTAACACAAAACAAGTTTCAAAACTCAAAGCCCTAGAAGGGCAACACCGCAGACAACACAACAAAAGCCAATACCAATCTAAGGATATGAACCATCTTAAGCGTAGGCAACAAAACACACCTAAGACAATGTCACGACCCAGACCATCGTAATTGACATCTACACTAACTCCGTGGGAGAACCACTATTACAACTCAAATCAAGCAACTAATCTAAAACTAAGGCATTTAAGTATACGAAGCAAGTCAAATACTAAGGAAATAATTAGGGAGTTCTCATAACTCCAACAAAAGTCTATCAAGAACTAAACAATGCGGAAGAAATAACCTAGAACCTAAAAGTCAATTTACCAAAACATCTAAAGTTCAACAAGTCTAAACAAGAAGGGATGCAACATCAATCTAATAAACTAATCAACTAACTAAAACAAATGTTTAAGTCCAAAAATGGTGGACATAGACGAAAGAGAATCTCATTGCAGCCCAGAAGAATTGGCTCACCCTTGAATTCGAAATGACGATATTGATCTTCTAGGCGAGGTTTGTCAATAGCCGCTTGAAGATACCCTGTACTCAACAAAAATAAGAGCAAGTGCAGTATCATTACACAACCACAGTGTACTGGTAGGATTATGTGGTTACCCCACTAGTGCAACATAAACAAGTCAAAACAACAATATAATCACATGTATATATATCAACATATACAATATTATCAACATTTACGAACAACAATCAATTTCACATTTTATATCACATCATTGGTCCTCTCATGGAACCCAAACCCAAACAGTTAGCATGTCGAAACGTGGCAATCGATCTCATTTTATGTCGGAACGTGGCAACCGATCCAAGTTAGTTATGTTGAAACGTGGCAACCGATCTCATTCACACATCATAATCACAATCACAATCACAATCACAAGTATATCATCAAGATCATACATTTAAATCATGATTTCATGGCAATGATAATTCACCTATCTCATTTATAATAAGTGTGATCAACATTATAATATTCATACATATACAAGTATCATAATGAAGCAAGAGCAAGCATACATCACACAATCATAAAATCACAACCATCACATACCTCAAAACAAGCTTGAAACCCTAAGAAACTTGATCCATTCCTTTCCGAATTCGTTCCGCTTATTTTTTATCTACAAACAATCAATATAATACGGAAATCAATAAGCAATCATTAATTATTCAAATTACTAACAATTTTATGAACCCTAGATCAAACTTATGATTTCAATTATCCAAATTAAGGTTGTTTCCACCATAGAATCTATAACAAAACCCTTCCCCATTCATATTCACCCATTCTATTACGTTCTACAGATCGAAAAATGAATTCGAGGAGTGAAAAGCTTACATTTAGCCTCAAAAATGGTGAAAAGCGAGTAGGAGTCTCATGGGGTTCATTCCTTAGCTTTAAAAGTTGAAAAGTGCATAATGAGGTTGTTTAAGGGTTTATTAACGACCTTAACTTACGTTGATCCCGTCACAGCGACCCTCACCCCGCTGTAGCGGCCTCGCCAGAGCCGCAGAAAGCGGCGCCAAAGCGAGTTACGCGAGGTAGTGAGCTATTTAAAGAATTCCAAGACTCTCATTTCACAACACATCTCTAACCCATGACGCTCAGAAAATACCCTTTACACTAAGATCGATTTCGGGAGTTCTACTCATCCGAATTCAATTTCATAAAGTCATACGAGTTTTTTAACGAGTTATCTAACTACTCATGCCATCGAAAACATAATTAATTCACCCGATTGTTACTAGATTTTCCTACACCTCAAAGACTCCGATTTCGTCCAAATTTGGACTAGGTTGGGAAATTTCAATATACTACGAAAAAGTTTTCCAACCCAAAAAATTTTCCCCATTGGATTTTCTATAACAACGGAACGCGATCGTTATAATAGATATCAATTTACCCATCACTCGTCCCCATGTGACAAACTAGGAAAAATAGGCTAAGGAAGAGTGAAGTTGTACCTGATTCGACGAACAATTGGGGATACTTGTCTCGCATGTCCCTCTCGATCTCCCAAGTAGCATCCTCAACTGGACGATGCTTCCATTGAACCTTCACAAACTTAATCTCTTTGGTCCTCAACTTGCGCACATCACGATCAAGAATTGCAATCGATTCCTCCTCATATTGGAGGTCCTTGTCTAACACAATTGAGTCTCACTTAATGATATAATCTCTATCACCATGATACCTTTTCAACATGGATAAATGAAATATTGGATGAACATTCGATAGATTAGGAGGTAAAATCAATCTATACGCCACCGGTCGTACACATTCAAGTCTAAAATGGACCAATGTATCTAGGACTTAACTTACCTTTCTTACCAAATCTCATCACCCCTTTCATGGGTGATACCTTAAGAAGAACATTTTCACCGGATTAAAATGTCATGTCCCTTACCTTATAATATGCATACTTCTTCTGTTCTAGGCTGCTAGAAGCTTAGCTTGTATACTCATCACCTTATCTTGAACATCCTTCACTGAATCAACCCCCAAAAATTTCACATCGTCAGCCTTAAACCATCCTATTGGTGATCTACATCCCCTCTCATAGAGTGCCTTGAATGGTGTCATATCTATGATGGAGTGATAATTATTGTTATAAGAAAATTCACACAAAGGTAAGGATTGTTGACATCCCGTGAGAGGGCGCAACGTTGCGGTGACTCAATTTTAAAAGAATAAAAGAATTTTAAAAAGGGTAAAGAGGTAAGGGAGTCGCCACCTAATTTTAGGAAAACTAGGAGACCAATTAATTAATTAACTTAAAAAGAATGTCTACGAAACCAATAGATTCTAGATAAAGGGTTCAAGTTATTCAGAAGAAAAGGTGTTAGGCATCCTTCAAAATCTACAAATGTGGATCCCGACTGAGTTCTTTTTTCAAATTGAGGAGAAGATAACAATAATGTACAAGTATAATAAACATGCAATATATACAAGTAATATGATACAACAATAATATAAAAATCAGCCTAAATTTGCCTATCGTCAATAATATACAATAATGAATCAAAAATATTGTTCGAACTTCATTCGAATAGCTTCAATGGGAAGAAACTTCGAATACCTGTAAAAACACTTAGTAAAAGTGTTAGTACTAAATAAATATGAATTAAATACTAGCTTAAAATTAAAAATCCGTCTTATTAACATTGGAGGCCTTAGGAATCGACGATAATTTCTTCATCGGTCATTTTTAACAAACAAAATATATGAACTTAAATTAAATTTCCGTCTTTAACATTGGGAAGACCTCCAAAACCGACGGAGAAATTTTCTCATTAGCCAATTTTAACAAACCAAATAGATTTAATAACGTAATAAAGAAATAACAACACAATATTCTCAAACAGTAGATAACAACAAATATACAAATAACAACCAACTAAAATTATCAATAGAAATTAACTTAAAGCAGCTACAACAATGGCAAATGAATGGGATACAAAGGGATCTGTAAGACATGATAGAAAGACGATATAATGTAAATACAAACTCAACTTATAACAACGTAACAAAGTAATATTAATAACAATTGATAACAAATAACTATAGAAAATTCTTAGCAAAGTATCTATAATTAATTTCAATAATTAAATAATAAATGATAATAATAAAAGCAGATAGCCAAAAATTAATGACAACAAAATAGTAACAATAATGGAAGTAAACACCTCGTGAACAAATGAAAATAAAATAAATTTAAACAAAAATACTAACATAACAATAAACAAAAATTGACAAAAATGTAACAGATTAAGCAAACAAAATTCAAAACAATAACAACGATAAAAAATAAGAATAAGCCAAATTTATCAGGGGCGGCTGGCAAGGCTCGTAAAAAAGTCCTTGGCCTTAGGCCCCCAATTTTAGGGGGCCTCATTTTTTAGTTAATTAGGTAGGATTAAATTAAAAAAAAATATTAGAACTAAGACAATAAATGCAAAGGCCCCATTTTTTAGTTAATTAGGAAAGATTAAATTTTTTTTAAAAAAAAATTGTTAGAGCTAAGTCAATAAGTCTAAACGGCTAAATGAAGTGATAGTCATAGATATGACTATGACTTTTTAACTTTCCCATAAAAAGTTGAAAAGTTGTGTACTTTTTTTTTAACTTACAAGTTATCTTCTTTTTTTTACCTTATTTTTTTTTCTAATTTTATTTTTATATATTCTATCATTCTCCCTTCTATTTCTTCTCACTTTCTCTTTTCTAATCTTACATCTCTCTTATTCAAAGCTAAAAAATTTACTTGTTCTATTGATAATTTATATTTTGTTTTATTACAAGGTGATTGTATTCATGCATCACTTGGAAAGACAGTAATTAAGCATTTCAGAGAAATTCTATATGAACTTGCCGTTTTTCGGATGAATTACTATGTGATTGCCCCAAACATCATGAAATTTAAGACAACACACAAACACAAGCTTAACTTCACTGTGACTACAAATGTTAAGGAAATTCAAGATCCTTCTTTTCATATGGATATATTCAATATCCGTACCTTTGACAAATTGACAATTCATCACAATGTTGATGAGACTGAGTTTTTGGGTAATAATGATATGTTATTCCATTCATTAGATTTTAAATTTACAATATATTAATAATGTATTTTATTTGCAGATGTTGTTGGACATGTTGCTTCATATCAACCAATTCAACAAATAAAGCAAGGAGATAACAATAGTTATTTCATCAATATTGTTCTAGAAGTTGATATGTAATTATTTTAGATTCATTTTATCCTTTTATAAATAGATATATTTTTTTATATATATTAAAATGTAATTAAATTTCATTCATACAGTAAAAATAGACTGTCAACAACATTATGGGGTGAACTTGCAGACCAAATACAACCACACTTGACGGGATCTGCAGATGAACCTTTGATTGTGGTTTGTCAATTAATGAAGGCTCACAAATTTAGAGGTTTAAACATTGTAATTGCAACAATTGTATATAAAATACAAATTTAATTAGTATAATTTTTTGACATTGTTTAATATCAATCATCAGAAAATTACTCAGTACGTAGTTGTTGGTATCAAACCAAAATCTGGATTAATCCTAATCTTCCTCAGCCTACCGAATTCAAATACAGGTTAGAAAATTATTTAGTTTTGCTTAGGCATGTTTCTCAACATTTGCAATGTAGTTAATTCTTCTTTTGTTTAATAATAATTCTAAATTATATCAAAACTATATGTTATGAATTTTTTTGCAGATTGATTTCATCATGTGATTATAAATGTGAGAGGCTCTCCCAGACAAGTTCTCAAAAACGTCATTCTATTACTGATGAGTTGTCTAAAGGTGTTGTATCTTTTACATATCTTTCTGATTTGATTCAATGCTACGAGGTGAGTCTACTAATCTATTTTAAATTTTCTCACTATATATTTACATATTTAATGTATAATTGATCTATTTAACTTAATTGTTATGTTATTTTAATTTTTAATTCAAAGGAATCTTCCTTTTGGATTGTTGCAAAAATCGTCTGTTTGGAACTTGACCATGGATGGTCATACTTGGCTTGCAACAATTGTATTACAAAGGTTGATACAGAGGGAACCAAATATTATTGTAAAAAATGCAATTCTGAAGTTAAATCTGTTATTCACAGGTTTGTTTAAAAAATCAAACTATTTAAAATTATTTTTATATAGATTATATAACACAAAATATTATGCTATTTAGATACAGGCTACAACTGTCTGTTATGGATGGCACTGCATTTATTTCAATATTGCTTTGGAATAAAGAGACTATCAACTACTTGGTAAAACTGCAAAAGAGTTGAAAGAAGGATTACTTGAAGATGACGAAAGTTCTTATCCAACCGAGCTTGGTGATTTAATGGAAAAGAAATTTATGTTTAAGAGTTTGATCAAGGACTCAAACATTAACAGAAAAGATAATGTCTATAAAGTTGTAAATTTCACCGATGATGATACTCTTTTAAAGGAATTTTGTCATCCTGATCTTCAGGACAGTCTTAATGTAAGTGTTTAAACACCAACATATTTGTTTACATTATACATACAAATTTTTAAATTTTGTATAAATTGTTAATTATGTTTATAATGTTCAAATAGAAATCACTTTTTGAGTGTGAGCAAAGCTATGATGAAGATAAACTCTTTGAGGTATTCTAACGTTAGATAAGTTACATCTTCTATATTACTAATCAGATTGAAAACACTTGAAGTACTTATAATCTTTATGTTATTTTAATTTTAGACTCCAATCAAGAGCAGCATTTCAGAGTGTGGTACACTAATTACTAAAGATGTGATTGATTTAACTACAAAGATATCTACCAAGAGTAGCAAAGCTGCTGGAAAATCTACAAGGCATGAAATTAAAGACGATTTGAATGTCAAACAATGCAGCAACAAAATTCACAAAGTGATTAAGAAGGAAAAGAATGCCTAAAGCTATCTTCCAAATTTAAAAAGTTATTGGAAGATTATGTTTTAATTTAGCTTGTATTAAGTTTAGTTTATTATTTTAATATTTATGTTTTAATAAGGTAGTTGGATGATCTATGTAGTTTATTATATAAATTCAAGCTATTAAGTTGTCTTCTTTATTTATATATCTCTCTCTCAATCAATATCTATCTATCATTCTCTCTCTACATATATATGTGTGTGTGCTTGTGGGGTTGTTTTTAAATTTATGTTGTTAATCCTCTACATGTTGTCTTAATGTGTATTTTATATTCTCTAACTTATAGTTTAACATTCATTAGTAACAAAAGGATCATTAAAGTTAACTTTACTGCATACAAAATCTAAACAACACACTATTAGATGATTTCTACAAATACGTTAGTGCAATTTAAGAGACATACCTTATTCCATATGTTAAAAAACATGCAACACTTTGGTGAACAATATGGTGGATTCACATCAATTTCTGAGCTGATATATTCAGAATAGGAATCAGATATTCTAAAGCTCCAAGCAATTCATCTTCATTCTTCCAATATATATGTTCAAAGGTAGTCATAATGAACAATGATTTATAATAATTCTATCAAATTTGTTGAAGGAGTACCTTGCTTTATATAACATGTTGAATCTTCATTTAAATTCACAATGCTACAGCCCCAAAGTTGCACCAAAACAGCAGCAGAAAACATCCAAAGTTGCACTAAATTTTCATAATAAAAATATTAAATCATAATTGGAATTAAACCAAAACAGCAGCATCAAAATCATCTCTAAAACAACGTTAGAATTGCACCTAAAAAATCACCAGAAAAACATTGAAACTGCACCAAAAACTGCACGATACAAACAGCGTAAACAGACCCCGAAATTGCACCAAAACATTCACACCAAATTCACACTAAACAGCACACTGACAATTGTATCAATGTGCGCAAACTTCGTGAACTAATTTCAAAAATAGATAAATCATATATAATAAATCTTCAATAACACATATACTATAAAAATAGAGTTTTTTATTTTTTACCATTGGTAAAGTTATAAAAAAAATAAAAAAAATAATAAAAAAAAAAAAAAAATATATATATATATATATATATATAACATAGCAAAACATATAAAAATATAAAAATAGAGTATTTTACATAGTAAAACATAACATTCTGTAAAATATTATCTTAAATATATTTTTCCTTGGTTATATTATTTAGAGGGAGGGTCAAGACCCTAAAAGGAAGCAAACTACAACCTGATGAAAAGAAAGGCAACATCCTACACATAGTTATAATAAGTTTTGTCTCAAGTGTTGGTGCCAGTATCTTATTTCATATATAATTATCAAATAAACTAACTCATCAAATACTCGAGCATGTTCATAGACATTCCTATCAAATCCTCTGCATGATCTTTATATATTTTATGCAATATCTACTGCATTTGGTGCACTTTTTATAACACGTCATACAATAGATGTTACTGAACAGTAACTCATATATACAATTATAAGAAGGAACCTAGCATTGAATAAATGAAAATTCCAAAGCACAAATAAATTGTAATGAGGAATTTGATCCAAAGCAATGACAAATATTTCTCTCATTTCCTCTGTGTATATTTTGTTACCCTTCATCTGATCAATGTATATTTTGTTACCCTTCACATAATGCCTATAGTTTGGGACAGCTCCTTAAAAACAAATGCATATTCAGATCTAACATAAATAAAAGCAATGTCAAAGAAATTATTGATTCACATAATTTTTACTAGGATCACATATGTTACAACATTCAACTACTTCTATCTCTTATGAATGATATGGTAAATACATATCAAAAACATTGAGAGAGAGATTAAACAAATATTAATCTTCTTAGTAATTGTTACAAGTGAAGAATATATTTTTCCAAGTTATTATAAAGTTAAACCTGTTAAAAAGTTTCAGCATAACTATAAATCGATTTATTTCTCTTTGAGGTCCTTAATCTATTCAAAATCACAACCAATAAAAAAACAGTTATAATTTTAAACTGCTATACTCCGAAATATTTACCGTCTAATAACTCACAATATCAGAATGATAATATAATTAATAATTTTTTAAATTAACAGTTATTTAACTAAATGCACTAATATGGATTTTAAAATAACTGCCATTTGGTCAACTGCATTTATTCATGGTAATTCACCATATAATCAGATTTCAAGTTCAATAACTCATAACAAAGTCATGACAGATCAGAAGAAATTAGCAAGAAAACAAACATTTAGAATAAAAAACGTGAAAAATACTCATCAGATGTCAATGGTTTGATCTCCTATCTCTATTTTTATTGCTCAATATAGTACATGTCTTCTACTAACATGTCAAATAACTGTAATATACACGCTGATATAATTCATATTGTTTAATAAATAATACTCTTAAATCTTAAACTTTTTGTTTATTGACATTCCATAAAATGTAATTCATATATGGTTAACATTGTGTGAATTCATCGTAAACTTTCTTCATTATTTATTTTAAGTAACTATTAATTATTATTATTATTTGGGTAGATTTGGCAAGCACTAGCTCTTCAAATACGCAGTTGCTAAAAGGGCAAGAGTTTTTAGTGGATGAGCATACTTATTCATCTACTTTCAATACTCCAAATAGGTATTCTACAGGTATTTGTTTGTTTAAAAATAATTTTTTTCATATGTTTCTTCACTGTAGTATACGTTCTTATCTACTTCAGATTTAAAAGAAATACTACATATTAAATATTACTATTCTTATACATAAAACAAGATAATGTCTAATTTTTATTGTAATATCTGCAAATTAGTTCATCTACATTCAAGAAAGTCTAAGGGTAAGTATATATTTATGGATTATAATGTATACTCACCTATGTTAACAACGTTTTCCAAAGGTATATCACTAAAAGAACATAACAATATTCAATAAGCATCTGCAATATATTCAAATTCTATATTATTTGTAACAGATAACAGAATATCAAATCATCTAACTCATGATGAAAATGAAGATGTAGATATGTTGGCAGCAGATGAGTTTGGTAGTGGAAAACTATACAATGAAGGTAATTTTTATAGATTACCATCCCTACCCTTTGCTTTGTTTAAACAAATTACTTTGTTTCTAATGTATTTTAAAAAAAAAACAAAAAAAAATTATTAGGCTATTGGGATATAGGAGATCCAATTTATGAATGTCAATATTGCGGCGCTTACTTTTGGTATGCGGAAAGAATTGATAAGAAGTGTAAAAAAAAAAGACATGTTTTCACTTTGTGGTGTGGTCATGGAAAGATAAAGCTTCCCAATCCAAAGGATCCTCCTACTTTGTTGAAGGAATTATTATTTGGATCAGGTAAATTAATTTATTTAATACAAATATAAATACACGTCAATAATTTTGTTTATCAATTTTACATTTCTATAATTTATTGTAGGTGAAAAAAGTAACCATTTCAGAGAGAATATCCGAACTTATAATTCCATGTTTTCTTTTACATCAATGGGAGGAAAAATTGATGCATCTGTCAATCAAACAAAGGGGCCAAGAACTTTCAGATTATCTGGACAGAATTATCATAAAATTGAAAGTTTATTGCCTAATGAGGGATCTACTCCAAAATTTGCACAATTATATATTTATGATACAGAAAATGAGGTAACAAATAGAATGAATGTTATCAGGTGTGTACTTATTTTATTTATGCTTTATATAAGATTAATTATAACTGTAGTAATTAATCACTATTATCAACATATTACTATTCACTTTGTAGTAGCGGTGAAAGCAACAATCAAATCCATGCTCAAATTGTCACCGAACTGAAGGAAATGCTTGATAAACATAATGTTCTTGCAAAGAGTTTTCGTATGGTTAGAGATAGATTTCAAGCTGAACAAAGTACAAATGTTAAACTAAGATTTATCGGAAGAAGAGGATCAAATGGAAGAAGATATCTTGCCATCAGTTTCAAAGGTAGCAGCTTTGGTTGTTGGCGATTTTGAACCAACAAATACTGACAGAGATATAATAATCGAAAGTCAAAATGGACAACTTCAGAGAATAAATAAGCTTAATGCAGCATATTTAGGTTTGCAATATCCATTACCACTACCTTATGGGGAAGATGGTTATAGAGAAGATATTCCTTTAAATAGAATTGATGAATCAAGTGAGGGAAGAAAACGTGTTAGTTCTTGCGAATATTTTGCATATAAAATTCAAGAAAGGAAGAATGAAGTACCTACAATTGTTTCTGCTAAAAGATTATTCCAACAATTCTTGGTTGATGGATATACAATGATTGAATCTTCTGCTTATTGTTTTATAGACTAAATCAAAGAAATTTGAGAACACATTTATATAAAGGATTACAAGAAGCAATTTTGCATGGAGACACAGAACCATCTTCTCTAGGACAAAGAATTATATTGTCTTCTACCTTCACTGATGGAACACGTTACATGTTGCAAAATTATCAAGATCCAATGGCAATATGTAAATGGGCTGGATATCCTGATTTATTCATTACATTTACATGCAATCCCAAATGGCCTGAAATTAATAGATTTGTGCATAGTAGGGGATTGCATCCAGAAGATTGGCCAGACATTATAACAAGAGTATTTAAAATCAAATTGGATTATTTGATAAAAGATTTAAGAGACAATAAAGTTTTTGGAGAAGTAAAAGAGAGTATGAACTTTATTTTGCTTTATTTTATTATATTATATTTTAAAGTTAATAAAATTTGTTTTATTTAAATAAAATCATAAATTACAAATAATATTTTGTTTTTCTCTTCATATAGTGATTTACACTATTGAATTTCAAAAGTGTGGATTGCCTCATGCACATATCTTACTTTTTCTCCATGATAAATTTCCAAATGTTGGAGACATTGATGTGATTATTTCAGCTGAATTGCCTGATAAATTACTTGATCCGGATTATTA